TTAAACGTAACACAACACTACACAGCAAACGAAAAGCCAACTTGAAGCAGGAAGTGCAACGCAGTCAAATTTTGTAAAAGAAAAGTATAGCAAGTAAATCTGAGTGCAGTGCTGCAAAACTTTTACTCTCTTCCCTTCATCCAGCCAATCACTAGGAGCAGCTGAATATTCTGTCATGCAGTAAAACTGCGAAACTCTAGGCGATTCGAACCTTAGGCATTTGTTCAATAGTGGTCGTGCATAACAGCTCTAGTAGAAGCATTTATACACCATTGCATTGAGGCATGAAAATTTAACAAGCAAATTTTTAGAAGTATGTTGAAGTATGAGGCATAAAAGTGGCGAGGAAATATTCCGAAGTCGCAGCCTGTACCAAGVCTATTAATATTGCGTTCAGCGGCAAGTTGTATAAATTATGCATACATATGTATGTATGTATTTTTATATCAACATATTTACGGGGTTTTAATGGTCTTGAAATGCATACTACATTTACATTTTGGATGAAGAAAAATTTAAGGTCACATATCTGACCTTTTAGGAATAATGTCTAGAACTTTCTGTAATAGAAGGAGTGTTATTTATATACTTTGAAACCCATCAAAAATCAAACTATAAGCAAATATATGTTGAAAAATATTTAACATTTCTAACTAAGGCAGCCCTACTTTCACTATATTTTAAGTGTCATATCTCTGATATTAATGCGAAGGCAAGAGGCCATTTTTATACATGTCTGCAAAGGTGATTCAGTATTGTAAGTCTACCAATCGGTATGAGTTTGACGACTGATCCAGGTTTTAAAATTTTAACGGCAAATTTTTTAATTTTAAAATAAACCTTCATATAAGCTATTTAAAACATTTTATGAATACTATATGAATTGTGCGCGTGTCAAATGATTAAGAAATTTTTGAAGGTATCTCTTTGTTAGTGACAAAACATATCTTTAAAAGAGTCTAATTACCATGCCTTAGATTTCATTAATCATTTCTTCATTCATGGCTTGGTTTTACATAATTACTTTTTTTTTTCGCAACTGTTTTTTCCTCGTAACCTCCGATGTTTTGAATAATATATAAAATTAACTAAGTGTAGCAACACTTTCACTGGTCAACACATCCAAAATTCTCAAGGAAGTTTTATTCATAAAATGAGATTTAAGGTATTTTTTGTATGCGTGTGTTACCTGTTTGAATACTTGCATCATGGTAGCAACTTAAACATCTGTGCATATACATAAATAATCTAATTTCACTATTCCACATATTATTACTTCTGCTCGCAAAATCAGAATGCACCAATGTGTTAGAGTAGAACATTTTCTTCAGGTGGGTCAGTTTTCTCACATACTTGATTACCACAAGAGCAAGGCTGTCGAATAGGTATTAACTTCCAATTCGTTGGTTACTAACTTTAATTAAAATAAATTAGTTATTTTTAAGAAAAAATATTACTTAAATTAGTTGGTTTTGTTCGGGCAGTTCTATACTATTCGAACAGCTTTTTGCTATAGTGATCCGATATCGAAGGATTCAAGAAAGGAGTAGCTGCTTGTGGAGAAAAGTATGATTGCAAGACAGCTGAACGTGGCAATTTGAGATTTATTTTTGCTCGTAGCGCAGGAGATGCCTTTTCGGCCAACAGCCCGAAGTGCTTTTTTCTTTTCAAAGGCGTTTTAGTGGTGTAACTTCGTTGCTGTCTCTTGCTCAACCCCGCGACAGAAACATACATACGAATTGCATATATTTTATTTTTCTATATGGGTGAGAATGGATAGTACTGTAATAGTTATCACTAATTATTTATATGTATATACATATAAGTATGTATATTCCGCATGCTTTATCAAGCATTTTGTATAATGGGCACTTTTGTGTTGAAAAGCGTCCATAGGAAGCCTTTGCCACAGATATAATATCTCAAATAATAAAATTACTTTCTGTTCATTTATGACTTATCATAATTTTATACATATATTTTATATTTACATAGCATTATTCAGTTCAGTGGCTATATTAAATTCTTTTGTGCTTGTTTTGTTACTTTTGTTGTAGTTACTCACAATTTTCTCAGAAAACATGTTTTTGTTTATTATCAGGCAATTAAAAGAATTATTTTGATGCTTTTATTAGCATAGTATTATTTTCAAGAAAAAAAAATCCTATTTGGCAACAGTTTGGTCTAATTCAACATACCAAGGCTTTTGTCAAATTTCCAATTAAGAATAATAAAAGTTCCTCATGTGGTGTAGAAAATGTGTAACAGAAATGGAGCATCTATAGAAGGTGAAAAACATCACATTATCATGGGCAGAGATTTAGTTTCTTTTATTTCGTTGTAAGTAGCATCGATGCGTTAAAAACAATCAACTTGTTTGGCATAGTTATTACATGTTTACCACAATAAGCTACTTACGTGCTTGTTTATTATATCTTCTGTTCACTTGTTTGTGTGTTTATGAGATTTGAACGCCAACTTTTAAATTCCTGTAGCGAATATTTTGTAAAATATCTGACAAATTGCTGTCGCTGTCAATGTTTGGGTGTTAATAACGGGAATTTCGTTCTTAGTTATCTTCATTGATATCTCAAACTAAATAGTACATTGTATTTATGTAAAGTTTCCATATTTAATCGAATACACTTATCTATGGCCATTTAGAGTTACAATATTTTTTGGTTTTGTTCAGTATCTGATATTTTTTTGACAACTTAATAGATGCTCTTTGTATATGTAGGATTTTTAAGAACCAAATCACGGTTTTTTAAGAACCAGATCATGTTAAGCTTTCATATGTCTATCATATTTTTTAGTATTGTTTGGCATTTCAGCGTGAAAAAACTTATTTACGCCTAACGTTACAAATTGCTCAACTTTGAGAATAGTTTTTTGAGCGCCATTCGCTTGGGAGTGTGTAGGAATGATTCTTTTTCAAATAGCCTGAATAGCCTGAAGCCTTTGGATTTACGTGATGCTGAAAACGCAATGCTTGCCAACTTTTCAAGTATAGCGTGAAGTTTTTTTGACCAATAAACAGTTGGTTCCTCATTATCACCACAGAAGTAGATTAATTAGTTTACACTTTATTTATCACTCATACACATGTGTGTGTATAACTACCTAGGTAGTTATTTGTATATTTAACGCATAATTCTTTCATGTATATATGCTTGTATTTTCACTTACAATTTGCCTCACGACATCTACAAGGCCGCCAAATGCAAAATTATCAAACAGTTAGTAATCACAAAACATAAATTTTTGCATATAAGAACAAAATGATTTTTTACATATCTGYCCACATTACTTTATACAAAACTTTATTTGCTTGTATGACTACACGTATTTCCGCACTTAGTTACCCGCCGTCATGGGCTCACTTGCCTAGTTGGCGCTTTTTCATTATTATTCTTCGTACAGTGTGAATGTACACGGATGTCGACACTTTGTGGCATTTGCCCCGAATTTCGTATAGTACCAGCACAAGCACGGTACATTGATCGTGCCTCTTCTGCTGCGTGATTCACTTGAAGATCTAGAGCGCTGTTGTGTGCGGCTGTTGCGCATGACTTGATTGACTTGCTTTGTTAAAGCGGCGACTTCAGCTCGAAGATTCGACCACTCATCTGGAAACGACGGTTCGGTGCTAACCTCGCAAATCTGGTTACCAACCTTCAGCTCTAAGCACTCTGAGATGGAATCCGCGATTTTTATCTTCTCACCGATAGGAGCGTTTGTCGCGATAATGGCCGCCTGGGCGTACGGCGGTAAACGACTAACMMACAGATCGTGCAGAATGCTCTCGCTGAGTGCGGGTTCAGCAGTGCATCGCATCTCGTGGTACAACTCGCTGGGTCTACGATCGCCCAGCGGTAGCTCCTTTAAAACCCGTTGGAGGCGGCGCTGCTGGCTTTCGGTGAAAATATCAATCATTTTCCGCCGAATAAACCCGTATTTATCCGTAAGAGGCGTGTCGTCGATAATAGTGCGCATTTCAATTAGTTTTGCYGGAGGCACACTTGCTAACACAATGTTAAATTTCACTGAATCGTCAAAAACTCGCGAGGCTTCAAACCAGAAACATAGTGAATAAAAATATGCTCGACACCGCTGCTTCCACCTGAAACGGCCATGCTATCATTCATCATGTCACTGGAATCCGGGAAATCGATGATCTAAGCTGCACTGTTCACACCTTTGCACGTGCACGTGATGAAAAAGGAAGATGGCACAGGATCGCGATCGCGTTGAGCACTGGAGTACTGGATGAACTACGGCGTTGACTCCTTCAGGTGATGGATTACGTTGAACACCGGATTAATCTGGGCGCTGAATTACCTCTGGTGCTAGATCAAGTCGGGGTCACCAATTAAAGAAATTTACGATGTAGTGATCCTTACTCGTTGACGGGCTTTTACAGAAGAAAGCATAAACTAAATGTTGCAGTGTTTGATGCCTTGCCTTTTCAAAAACGAATGTAAGTGTAAAGCGACGATACGATTAAAGGCAACATCAGGATAGCATACAGTTGCATTTTAAAAGTAATAGATCGTGGTGTTGCCACATAGATGTATATGTTATATAGCTTTTTGTTTTACGGGCACTTTTGTGCTGAAAACTTTCTCAAGGGAGTCATTTGCAAAAACATATCGAATGATGAAGTTATCTAATATTAAAGTATCGCTTACCATATTAATATAGTTTACTAAACTTGCAAAGTTGGATCTCACAATCACATAATATCAATAATAGAAACCATTCTTGGTATTACATTAATGTTATATTTCGAAAAAGAGATAATAATGATTTTTAAATTATCGATACGTTTATTTTTTAGAAACTAAAATTCTTAAATCATCCTGGTGACGAAAGATGAGATGAAATTAAGAATTTTAAAATTTTAGTTTCAAAAGATGCCAGTTTGTTGAAGAATAGTGTGTAGCAGGCTCCGTTTGTGYAAAAGATGCCAGAAAATTTCAAATCAAAACGACAAAACTGAATCAGAAGAATAAAAATTCAAAGAATGTTTGCGTTTATCGATTTGCGGAATAAGAAAGTAAACTTTTACATTTCATAATATTCCTTTCRAAAAGCTTTACATATGCTTGTTGACAGTTGCATGGCTGAAAGCACGCTTGACCTACAAATAACTCGATTTTAATCCATAACATGTTCGGTAAAAGCAAAGTTTTCCCAGCCCAAAAAGTCACTGAAAAGTCGTCAAAAGGCAATAAGACAGAATAGAAGCGAAAAAAGTAAAGGCATTTTCATAAATCATTTGTTTCAAAATGCATCTGTTCGAAAGTTATGTAAACGTTTAAGTGGTAAGTCAGATTTTATATAAAATGCTTGGTTTTGAGTTAAGCTAACTGCAAGTAGACATAGTCGTAGGAGGCGTTGCGGAGACTTAAGGGAGAATTTATGGCTTATCTTATCGATAGACGAAAGTAATTTGAATTAAAATAAACTTACATATATTAAATATGCTAAACTAACTTTCGACGCCAATTTTATTTTGCATGAGTTTTGCGATCAGGCGGCCGCATGGCCTCAACGAAATATCGTTCAACCTTTGCCTTTGTTGGGAAGTYAAAAAAGTTTTAATGTTTAAAAGCTTTCGTCGACATTGTTGCGTATACGCCATGGCCTAATATTGAGTGTAGCACCACACCACTTGTTATAGCTAACATTCACACCACTTGTTATAGCTAATATTGCCTTGTTCGTGACTATTTATGCAATGATCAACG